GTTGGGGTTGGAACCTTTGGTCCTTTGGTTTTAAATTTGGTGTTATAACAGCAAAATAAAACACTAATTCACCACAATACACCAAAACACTTTACTTTTGCACTTACTTGTTTTATTACATCAAATTGCATTCGTTTTTCGATTTAAAAATATTATTATAAGCTTTAAAAAATTGATGTTGTCGTTTTGAGGCCTTTTTAGAGCTGGGGCCCTTAATACTCCCAGGGCCTTGGCCCATCAGGTCCCTACGTAAAAACGGCACAGCTGATGAGTAACATATTTATATCTACCTATATGGATTTTTATTATAATATTATATTATAAATTATAATTATTACAGTATACAGGGTGTCCGGAAAAATGATTTATTTTAGGTACAGCAACTGTTCATTAACAAATTTTAAAAACGAAAGTAATGTAAACCTTTTCACGAGTGAAATAAAAAAAGTGGATTTCCATTTGAAAAAAATGATTTATGATTTTTATAATCTTTTAATCGCTCAATTCCATGATAGATGCGGCCATTATTATATGACATTCGGACAATTTAATTTTTGAAATAGATAGCCACATGACTTCTCTTTATGGTACAGTGGCTGTGGCAATCATTAAATTTGACGTTTAGGCTATACAGGTTGTTAATTCGACAGTTACATATAGGGGAACAGAATGGCAACACTGCCTATTGAGAACGCATGCACTTATAGGGTTTTCTGCCGACTCGTCCCGTCGCGTTAGGTTATGGTTGCCATATTTCAACCATAAAGCTCTTGCCGCAAGTAATAAACAAATTAACAACCTGTATACATATTTTTAACAGGCAGTTTTTTTCCTCCAAAAATTATAAATATTTTTTTTTTCTCAAAAACGGTTAACGTTAGGTATAGAGTGTTTAATATTAAAATTCATAAAATTTTACAGAGAATTTAAATATATAATAAAAAATTGGGACATATTTAAAATAAGAAAATTGCTGTCAACTTCCGGTACTTCCGGAAGTGCCGCCATATTGAAAATATTTTTAATCGATAGATCTCGTTGTGAAACAATGATATGCAAAAAATCTCGGTTGTAGATATTTTAGTTCTCTAGAAGCTTCTAATGCAGGCTCAGCCTGGGACACCCTGTATAAATACTTGAATTTTGTCAACCATTATGCATACGTCATTCAATTTTTACAAAATGTATATTAGAAGTATATCATTATCTGAACAGACCGGGGGCCACATTTAGCTTTGCCCCAACAGGCGACACAAGCTACCGTTTCGTCTACTCGGCCTGGGTCGTAGCTCCTCGACTGTGAAGGACACGGATCTCCGTAGGAAGTCCTGGGACTGTATGATGAGTTATAACGCAAGAAAAGGGGACACAATAGATCTCTAAGGTCGCAGAGATTAACCCCCCTCCCACTTATTCTAAATTCTAATTCTTGTACAGCCAAGGTCAATAATCTTTATCGCTACCGATCGCTATTTAGTTACAGAGTTCCAGCCTAGGAATCTTAGCTTCCTGATGTTTTCAAACACTGATATGTGTCTAAATTAGATTTTATTTTATTTTACTTTAACTTCTACTGTTAACTTCTCAATCGTCTAAATCTGGTAAAAGTTTATGGCAGTTTTATTTCCATCCTACGAAGCCGGAATAGTACGTCCTATATATTACGTTTATTGCGATGTTTTGGGGCTATCTAAATACACTAATATTTTATTTATTCGTCGAGAATGAATTTAAATGCGTAATAATGGGTGCCAGTTAATGGAAATGTATCATTGGGATCCGAAAACCTTTCGATTTATTACAAAATTGGCGAATAATTGTATTCCATTAGGAATATAAGGGTGTTTAGGGGATAAAATCAACAAATTTTGCACTTCGGTGTTTCTATCTCCATTGTTAAAACAATGGAAAGGGAATACAAAGTGGCTAATTACATTACAATAATAATGTGTATAAATATCTCGACAAATAATACTCATGGACAGAATCGAATATTTAACAGAACTATTTAATTTGTTTTTGTAATCTAGTCTCAATAAAAAGATTAAAAAATGTGCGTTCGAGTCAAGTGAATTGATCAAGTCAGTGAAATTCAATTCGCACGAATGTTATATGACCGTCTAAACTCGACAAATCATGTCAATTTATCAAGTGAATTGATTCAAGTCTCAGTTGACTATTGTTTAACTTCTGATGTACAAGTGAAGTATTTGAAATGGTGGCAAGTAGGCGGTCAGAAAAAAATTCTATGGTCGAAATATACTACCCATAAACATATTTTCACTTATTTAAGACTCATCCTGTATATGGTTTTACAGTAGGTATTAGAAAATATATCCACTAATTAAGAAGAATATTATACTATTTTATAATTTTGAAAAAGTCTAAACATTATCATAATCCAAAATTCATACGGTATAATAAAATGTGACTATGGTATTCTGGTATGTCAATTTTATGGAAAATCCCCACAAGCGAAAAAATATAGTAAATTTTATTTAAAATTCTGCAAAATTGAAAAAAGATACTTATTTTATATTTGAGTCACTATCAATATAAAAAATATTTCGTTACCATTGTCGGCGTATTTTGTAAAAACAATTTCAGAATAAACATTTCAATTAGTAAACTTAATAGAGCTTTTTTGGAAAACTCGGTCATATTTTATAATTATTATTTCCTATGGTTTCATAAATAACATCAAAAACTAATTATAAATGACATGCAAATATTCAACAACGGCGGAAAAATCCAATTTTTGTTATTTGTTTTTCCAATACCTATTAGTGAAAAATCGTTTCCTCCATTTTCGGGTTGTTATTGAAATATATATTTTGCAGAACGGGAAATAGTTTATTTTACGTGCACTTTTTTGTCGACCATACCAACAGGTAAAAATTTTAAAAAATCGTAACTCCAAAATTACAGTAGCTAGCGAAACGCGGTATTTTCTAAAAATTTTCTTGAGTGAGAAAAAATTTCCGGATTTAATTTGACCTCGTGTGGTATTCGGTAAGAAAATTCCAGACCAAATTGTGTTTAAAAATAAAATAATTAAAATATATTTTTCTATTTTTGGTATATTTTTAGCCTATAAACTGTTGATTTCTAATGATTTTAGTAGCTCAAAAGTGCCATTTTAGGACCTAAAATACTATATTCTTTCATTTTATAGTTACTAAACTGGTAGAAAATCATAATTTATAAGGTTTTTCGGAACGCTGCATGAACAGATTTACAGCGCGTCACAGTTGTGACAGCAATTTAGACCTTTAAATTCGTTAAAGACCGTTAAATTGTTGACTTCTACTCGTTGTAGTTGCACGAAAATACCATCTTAAGACACAACACAATATATTCTTTAATTTTACGTAAGTTTTGAGTAACTAAAAGTGGTATGAAATTCATATCCAGCGCGCAGCGTCAGCAAGCGTCAATCATAAAAGGCTGTGATCATCGTATTTTGACAGTTCAAAATATCAAAAAAACTCGCGTTTTGTTGTAATAAAGAATATTGTGCAGCTTGAAAAACCAACAAAATTCTTTGTTTTAAAAATGAATCGGTTTGAAAATCATACTACATGCAAAATATGCGTGAAATTGTCTGATGTAATGATCAATCATCGTGCGATGAATTATTTACCCGCATTAATAGAGTATTATGGCTCCTACGTGAAGAAAGAAACTTTGTTTCGAATTGTTCACGAATATTTGCATCTAAACTACTCAAAATTCAAAGTGCTAAATGGAAAAAAGGTGAATAAAATAGTGTCTAAATATTATATATATTTCATTAGACATAGACATTTAATTCAATCCATTCCAAGTCCTACATTTTCGCCATTAAGAAGAAAGATGTCCAAAGAATATAGAAAACATCTCAGCTTTGTAACTGAAATGTACCAAAATTATCATGTAAACAAATAAAAACCAGACTCCTAAAAAGATATTCTGTTATTATAAACGTCAAAAAATTTCCAGTATCCGCTGTTGGGTGCCGCTGTTGGGTGCCTCGCGTTGGGTGCCCCCTTTTGAATAAGAAGACTAAGGAAGGAGCATAATGCTATCCATGTATTCATGTATGGTGGGCGGAAAAGCCACCATAAAAGCTCTCTAGGGTGGGGATCCTTGACAGTTCTGTTTGACGATTCATTTGACATATTTGAATTTTATTTGAAATTTTGTGGATTTGTCAGTCTTTACGGAGCTTATTTTATGTTATTTATTATTTATTCTACTACTGATAGTTGTATAAAGGTAGTAAATCTAGATGGAAATTGTGGCAGAACTTAAATTAACAGTGACACTATCGCGATTTATCGAAAAAGACTCTAAAATAGTTGGTTGTGTAGCGTGCGGTAGATCTCGGCAAAAATTGAGTGAAATAATGGAACAACTTTTCGCTAGTAAGTGACTATATAATATACATGCGTGTATTAAACCGATCATTTATGAAATTCACTTAAATTAACTAAATTATATATTTTTCTTGCATTTTAGCTTTTATTTATTACTTGTCAAAAATTAGATGTCAAAGAATTTAGATACGTTAATTTGACTTACCTGCTTCAGTAGCGTATCGGATGTTTGTGTTAATAAATACTTATTATAACTTATCTATTTTTATTAGAATTATATATTTTATAACAATTTTAATAACTACCAACATTTATTCACAACGTAAAATAAAACAACAAATTATTGAGTCTACCCCACGTCTACCCTACATCATAGTTTTACATTTTTTAAATGAAATTAGAACGACACTGATAAACCGGAATTTAAGTCGGCCATATTTGAGGCCCATCGCGGTGTACCTAAGATTTTTGATATGCTCCTTCCTTAGTCTTCTTATTCAAAGGGTGCCCCCAAGGAAAAAATTTTCACTAAAATTTGTACGTTGCCATGGTGATTTGTTTTGATTGGTACGAAAACACGTTTTGATTGGTAAAATATTACAGGTGTGGAATTTTCAATAAAATATAGCTGATAATATTTACCTGGAGTTCAGGAAAGCTCTGCCTAACAATTAACGTCCATAAATTATGTAACACACAAATTGTCAGCACGAATAACCAATAAAAATAAAAATTCGAGTCTGGATTGACTACTGTTCTGGGTTGCCTGAGTCTTTTCCTACGACGACGCGGTGCCGATCTATTGTCACCTAAAACAATATATTAATTATATAGGGTGATTAAAGAAAAACATTTTTTTTGCAAACAGACTCAAAAGTTTCAATTTGACGTAAAAAGATACCAGTTAAAATTTGAGCCATCATTATTAATATTAAGACTGACCACATCCCGTTTTTCCATTTTCCATAAAAATACCAGGTAAAAATTTTGTTCTGCACCTTATGAATTATATAGCTAGCCTGTCGTGTGTCATAAAAAAGAAAAAAAAAAAGAAGTAAATCTTTTTACTTATTTTTGTAGAGACTGAACGTTCTACAAAAAAAATCTCTTATGATTTTTCGAGAAACGTAATAGTTTAAGAGCTATTCTTAAAAAAAAAGAAAGTTCAATTCATCGCAAATTTTAAGGTTTTTGATGCATTACAGCAAATTTGATGGTTTTATTGGGACAAATCACCAAAAAATTCATGTCTATCTTAAATTTGTCCTGAAATTGTCCTGATATTACAAAGGAAGAAGTCAAACGTGCTATAGAGCTTCAGAAGAAAAACAAGGCAATATGACCAAACCAGATCCACTCGGAAACCCTAAAGCTAATCGCCGATCGATGCAGATGACAGGGGCCTTAAGATTCTTACAGATTCCTTACAGAACTGTTTAATTCGATATATAAAGCCGGCAAGATACCCACTGATTGGCTAAAATTCACTTTTATCCCATTACAAAAAACCAAACGCTTCTCAATGTGATGACCACCTTATTCACAATCAACATATATTTAATCAACAATATTCGCTCCGCAGATAATACGGTCGTACTGGCTGGTAACATTCTACACCTTCAGAACATGATGGACTGCATCGGTGAACATAGCATACAGTACGAATTACACATCAATGCTAACAAAACTAAACTTGTTGTATTTTCCAAAACACCGGGAAAGACTGTCCTCAGAATTAACAGCAAGGTGGTAGAACAAGTATCGTCCATAAAGTATCTAGGAGCCCTCGTTAACGACGCTTGCGACCCCAAAACTGAAATTTCAGCGAAGATCGAACAGGCCAGACGTACTTTTGCTTCCATGAAAACCCTCTCATCTAGCCAAGATCTATCCCTCGAACTGCGCATACGTATGCTGCGTTGCTACATCTTTCCAGTATTTCTCTACGGCTCTGAGAGTTGGACACTCAATCAGATATTGGAAAACCGCATTAACACTTTTACTTTTGAGATGTACTTGTATCGTCGTATGCTGCGTATATCCTGGATGGATAGAGTGACAAATGAGGAGGTACTCAGGCGGATGGGCAAAGATAAAGAGCTCCTATCAACAGCGAAGGAAAGGAAGTTACAGTACGTCGCACAGTAGGCAATATGTCCAAACCAAGTTGCAAAAAATAACATCCACAGTTAGCATTTATGGCAATAACATTAGATTGGAAACATATTAGTTAAGAGGAAACCACATAAAACTAACAAAAAAACATATTCGGAGTCTCTTTCGGGGGGCTGTAAAACGAACTTTGCGCAAAACCTACATTTTCAGTTAATTTGTGTCCAATAACTGCCTTTTTTCTACAATTTTTTAAATAGTAGGCGTTGCATTCAAGTGACACAGTATTATAATAATTGAATCGGACGACCTTAGCTTGCTGTCAATAATTATTGTGAAATTGTCATAATGTGTTTTACGTAGATTCCCGGTTGCGGTAAATTTAATGCCAAGGTAAGTAAAAAAGGATCTTTTATTTTGATTTTTTGGATAAAAACTAGATAAAGGTCAAAGTAGAACATAATCATTTAAGGTTTTTTTGATAGTGGCATATATTCTATCTTAGAAAAGTTAAGTGAAAAAAATCGCAAAAAATCGCAACTTTAAACTTATTGGAAGCGTATGTCTCCATGCGTATGTGTATAGTAAGATCCTTTATATGGATACTTCTCATAAATTAATTGTTATAGTAGCTAGAGAAGAGCTTGAAATATAAAGTTACGTAATTTTTCTCAAGATTTCCGAAGAGGTATGTCATAAATGTCAAATGACATTTTTTGACAAATTGACAAATTTTGACAGTACCTAATTTTTTAAATTAAATGAAATGGATTTTTCTTTCAGATTTAAAAATGTGCACTTCGTGACCATTGCTTCCAGCTGTTATAAAACAAAATATCAGTAAATAGTAGGTGGTAAAATAAAATTTAGATATTTTTAATAGGTATAAGTTCTGTTATTTTCGAAATCGTCATTGTTTAAGTCTCAGAATATTGTTGCTTATTTAAAATATAATAATAAAATATTGTTGACATATTGTCTGGTATTATTAGAGACCCAACTTATTCAAATGACAAACAATCTTGAATAAAAGTTCGATTGGATTAGTATACTTAGGGTTTCCTTTTATACATTGACACCCCCTTTATCTTTTTTATTTGACGTTTCCTTTTTTTTTGACGTTCTCAAATGAAAGTGGTTTTGGATAAATTTGCCAAAAAATTTATTTCGCATATCCAAAGTGCTTCAAAAAATCTTATTTCAAATTAGGTATAGGATATGCTACATAAAAGTAGTTAGGATTTTTAGAAGAAAATAAAAAAAAAAATAAATAAAAAATTGGGTACTAATTTGAAATAAGAAAGTTGGGCCACGCACAGGATTTCTAAGGCACCCGGTATATGCAAAGAAGACAGTTTTGAAAAATGTATTCCAGACCATTAAACTTTTATTCAAGACACTTTTTTCGAAAACGTCGAATAAAAAAGATACAGAGGATGTCAATATATATACCTAACCTAACAAACCCTGTATATGCCGGAGGAGTAATAATTGCTCAATATTTGTCTGTTTCATCTTCGCTCTGCCAAAAATCGTAAAATGTAGTGAAATGTAAAATATTCTTACCGCATTTTGGTAGCTGTATTAGTCAAAAGATGATTTTTCCATTTTATGAATCCCCCCCACTACACCTAGCCAATCTCAAGTCAGTCAAAACTAACTGGGTTCACGGGCTACTGGCATAGAATGTTTTTACCAAATTTGAATGAAATCGTACAATAAAAGAATTTTTGCAACATACTTCTGGATTTTTGCCCACTGTGCGTCGGTCACATCATGAGGGGTGATCGATAAGATGTACTCAGACTGGTCATCGAAATCAAAATTAAGGGCAGGAGATCAGTGGGAAGAAGGCAAAACTCCTGGCTTAGGGATCTGTGTCGTTGGTTCGGAAGAACATCGATTGAAATTTTCAGAAGTGCGGTTTCACGTATCATCCTAGCCAGTTGAATCGCCAAACTCCGAAGGGAGACGGCGCGGCGCGGCGGCCTAAGAAGAAGATCTTAAATTTAGATAATTCAGATTTTTTAGACAATAATTGTTAATCATTTTCGGTAGTCGTCCAAAGAAAAATCGAATAGTTCGAAGATTTATTATAATTTTTTTTTATGAAAACAAAAATCACGTTAAACTGTTTTTCTGTTCATTCAATAGGCTGTAAATGTTTTAAAAGTCATTGTAACTAATTTGAATTCCCAAAATTATAGGTGAGTAGTTCTTTTATTATTATTTGACCGATAAAAACTATATTTTTTTTTAAATTTTGTTCGGTAACATAGTTATTTCTCTACTATAAATAGACTTGTAGATAGAGTACAGTCTGACAAACGGATCTGAAACAACGGAGCAACGGTAAAGGAATCGTAATTTTCTAAAAACTTGGTCGATTTCCTTCCTATAATATCCAGGAACGTGCGGTGTCTGGTGAGGAAAACATTCAGTTTTAAGCGTCCTGGTGCCATGCATCATGCGCGGTGGATGGTAAAAGCCATCTACAGCTTGAAAAAATTCATGTTTCGAGATCAATTCCATCTTTCACTCGGCGAAACAATGTGTTTGTGATCTTAACTGCTATTCTTTCACCAAATAATGATTTAGAATTTATAAAAAGATTGATTTTCTATGATAGTGTTTATGCGGCTGTTTTACAAAAAGCTAAAATGAGTGATCACATGTGGTGCTTAAATGAGGAATTAGCAGTTATCTCTATATTTTATTCCAATGTTTCCGTAGATATAAAAAGAAAAATGATTGAGAAAATTGATTCTCGACCAGCTTCTATAATAAGAAATCAGTGGTACCAAGTACTCGATAATGAACGCGAATTATTTTTACAAAAATATTTAAGTGATTTTGTATCAAAAAAATATTGGAATTTTTTAAAAAATTTGATTTACCGAGCGATTTTTTAGAAAGTGACATTTCAACTTGGTCTAATGATGATAGTTACATGGAATGTGCTGAATTTTTTAAAATCATTAAAAGTAACGAATGGCGTAGCTGAAAGAGGAGTTGCGTTAATCGAAGAATATAACAATATTACTCCACTAAAGATGAAAATCAACTACAATATTTGTTACAAGTAGTTCGAAAACGTCGGCAACATTATCCAGACTGTTTAAAAAAAATCTTCAATAATAATATTGATTTAGATTAAATTTCACTAAGTAATTTTATAAGTACTTATGGAAAAAGTACTTATAAAACAATCGTTAGTCAACAAACCAATCGTTAGTCAATATATTCCTTATGTAACTATTTCAAATGACCGGAGAAATTTTTTTGTCTTTAGATTAAACAAAAACGAGATAAACTATGATTTCGAAGCCAATTGTGCTAAAAATGATCTCAAAGAGTTTCCTGGTCTCATTATTGCAAAAAATTATTAACAACTAGTGTGTACCCGCGACTTCGTTCGCGTCGGATTAATCATTTGTAATGGTGATGATCAAGCAAAGCAAGAATTTCCATTAACATACAAACTAAGATAAAATTTTCTTACATTTATGTCAGCATGAGAAAAAACAATATGGCGATATTATTATATAACTTGGTATAATATTTGAGGGGTAGTTTCATCTCGTTGGAATTTGACTTTCGAAAAATCCGTTTGCCAAAAATAAGCTTTTTACGTCAAGCAGTTTAAGCAGAATCGTGATTAATCAATTACCCAACTTTTTGGAACACCCTGTATGATTTTTTAAAAATTTCAAAATATGTAAAAAACAAAATCAATTATGCGTGTCAAGTGTTTTCCCGAAAGGCTCGCCGTATTTAAAAACAATTATTGTAATATTTGTGGGTCGTTTTCACCCGCTTGGAATTTGAAATTCGAAAACCCCTCTTTATCGAACCTCTACACCCCACAGTCAATCCGTTTGCCAAAAATCAGCTTTAAACGTCAAGCAGTTTAAGTAGAATCGTGATTACTCAATGGTTATATTTTATGAAACACCCTGTATAAATTTTTAAAAAACCTTAAAATATGTAAAACAACAAAATAAAATATACATGTTTAAGAGTTTTTCCCAAAAACTCACCGGTTTTTAAATAAAAAATATTCTAATATTTGAGGGGCGGTTTCACCCCCTTAGAATTCGAGTTTCGAAAAATCCCTTCTTATCGAACCTCTACACCCTAAAGTCAATCTGTTTTCCAAAAATCAGCTTTTTACGTCAAGCGCTTTAAGCAGGATCGTGATTAATCAATGACCAATTAATCAATTTTTCGAAACACCCTGTATACATTTTAAAAATCTTAAAATATGTAAAAAAGAAAATAAAATATACGTGTTCAAGCGTTTTTTCGGAAACTTGACCGTTTTTAAATAAAAATATTCTAATATTTGAGGGGCGGTTTCACCCCCTTAGAATTCGAGTTTCGAAAAATCCCTTCTTATCGAACCTCTACACCCTAAAGTCAATCAGTTTTCCAAAATCAGCTTTTACGTCAAGCGCTTTAAGCAGGATCGTGATTAATCAATGACCAATTAATCAATTTTTCGAAACACCCTGTATACATTTTAAAAAATCTTAAAATATGTAAAAAAGAAAATAAAATATACGTGTTTAAGCGTTTTTCGGAAACTTGACCGTTTTTAAATAAAAAATATTCTAATATTTGAGGGGCGGTTTCACCCCCTTAAATTCGAGTTTCGAAAAATCCCTTCTTATCGAACCTCTACACCCTAAAGTCAATCCGTTTTCCAAAATCAGCTTTTTACGTCAAGCGCTTTAAGCAGGATCGTGATTAATCCATGACCAGATTTTTCGAAACACCCTGTATACATTTTTAAAAATCTGAAAATATGTAAAAAAGAAAATAAAATATACGTGTTTCAGCGTTTTTCGGAAACTTGGCCGTTTTTAAATAAAAAATATTGTAATATTCCACCCCCCTTTTTACCCCCTTAGGGGATGAATTTTTAAAAATCCTTTCTTATCTTACGTAAACATCATAAAAGGAACCCCTGTGCAAAATTTCAGCTTTCTAGGGTCAAGGGTTTGGTCTGGGCGTTGATGAGTCAGTATCAGTCAGGACAGTCAGATTTATATACCAATATAGATTATTGTCTAAGAAACTAAATTTAAGATAAATATGAATTTTTTGGGTGATTTATTCCAATGAAACCATCAAATTTGCCAAAAACCTTAAAATTTACGATGTATTGAACTTTTGCCTCGAATAACTCTTAAACTATTAGGTTTTTCGAAAATTCATAAGAGACCTTTTTTGTAGAACGTTCAATTCTCTACAAAAAAAAGTAAGGGTCTATTTTATAACACACGACAGGCCAGCAATAAAATTCATAAAGTGCAGAACAAAATTTTTCCAAGGTATTCTTAAGGAAAATAGAAAAACGTGATGTGGGCAGTCTTAATATTAATATTATAAGGGCTCAAATTCTAACTGGTATTTTTTTATGTCAAACTGAAACTTTTCAGCCTGTCGGTAAAAATTTTATTTTGAATCATCCTAATATTAATATAAACAATACATAATTAGAAATACAGTTTCAGATATATCTAATATTTACCTGCACAACCTTCACTTCCGGTGTCTTCAACAGTTTCTTGAGCTTCCGGTATTTGCCTCGTTGAAAATCTTTGCAAAAACGAGTCTTCCCGTTTCAAAGGCGGTTTCTATAACAAAACAAGTAAAGATTTAATGTAGAAACAATTTCTGCTGTTTTGACAACAACATTTTAAGATAAATAAATCGTTTTGTAAAATAAAATGTCTATTCCAAATAATAACTGTTTTATTATTTACGAAACTATTTTTGGGCAACATCTAAATTGAAAAGGAGTTGATATTTTGGAGATTCTGGCTTAACAATCAAAAAGCGTAGTAAACAATATCAAGCATAATTTACATATTAATAGCAAATTTTCCGAGGTAACAATGGAGCCTTTGAAAACAGACATAACAAAAATCTCATCCTAAAAACATCCCATTAAATCAGGAATATTATAACTACATTGTAAAGGGCAGACAGTAAATGTAGCTTTCCGGATTTGAAAATATTCAGCGTCAGGGTAGCTTATAGAATAACTTCGATTATATAAATCATTAAATATATAACTCCAAACATACATACATAATACACAGATATATTATATTAGTAAGCGCAAAACATTTTCCCATGCACGTCATCAATCATATCGACATGGACACTAAAGTCTATAAACCTGACTAAATAAAATTTTGGCAAAAATGTTTAAATTTGTTGTATAATTTAAGATACCGAGCAGCCCTTCATTTTGCTTTATAGAGCAAATGATTGCAACATATATTTTATTTAGATTTAAGCTGCAAAAATTAGTTTAAACCGAATTTTATTATTGCTGTGTTGTCACATTGCGCCGTGTTCAGCAATGTTGTCCTTTATTATTTGACAATTATCCGAGTGTCAGTCATTATTTTATATAATATCGTGTTGTTGTTTAATCTTTGTGAGTAATTCTCGTTTTTTTGTCTATTTTCATAGTCCTTTTTTAAAAATTGCACTTTTAAGCACAAACAGTTCTTTTAAGAACTAAATTGTATTCCATTTCTTGAAATTGTGTGTTGGAAATATGCCTAAGCATTTAAACGGTCGAAGCAAAAAGCTTGTACTTCCCTGTTTTTTTTTAACTATTTTTAACAAGAACGTGACAATAAAGGTCCTTTATTACACTTGACTGTTTGTAGTCAGAAAAGTAAGTTTGATTAATAAACACATTATACCACATTCAAAGTTAGTATGTATTAAATTCTGTGATTATTAGTTTGTTCATTAATAGCACCCTCTTCAAGCGACACTTTTTATTTGGAAAAGCTAGACTAGAACCGGAGGAACTATGCTCCCATCCTATCAAGGACCTGCATAAGTTAGTGCAGGGCACAGGGATAGGAGAATGGGTGCAGATATAGAAAGGGGACAAACACAATAGGCCTCACAGGTCGCAGTGTTTCCGGCAGAGGACGGCCCCTTATTGTGAAAAAAAATAGCACCCTCTTACTTGTTATTACCACTTATGGCGATGTAAGATGTACATCAATAAATAAATAAATAACCCATAATAACGCTTAGAATAATCTTCATAATGGACTAGTTTTTGCCAATATGTAATAAGTAAAATAAATAAATCAATTAATTACTAAAGTATTAGTTATTAAATTAAAAATAAAACGTAAAACTCTTTAAAAAATAATATAATAAATAAGTTGTGTGTCAATCTTAAATTAAGATTCATCTCATAAATTCATCACAATCTGGCAGCGCTGTCGCCATCGCTTGTCACTCAATGTTGATCACGTGCATCGGAAATTGTTTTGCGATTATCATAGGTATAGTACTACCATTTCTGTTGATATATTGTTTTTCGTGTATAAAAGGTATACCATGTGGTGCATCGGAACATAGGAAATTCCATGTACATTTTGAAAAGGTCAAATATTATCTCCCCAGATGGTTTTATGCAAATGTATTAGATTTTTATGAAGAGGCGTTAAAGATGTACTTTGTTATAGAATTTTGTTTTATTTGTAATAGGCAGTGGGCTCGAACTCACTGACGACCAGGTCGCAACGACCTGGCCGTCGCACAGTGTGAAATTTACGGGTTGTAGCTGGAAAAAAATATTTCAGCGACTCTTTTAATGAAATATTAGTCTTTTTCGTTTTTATATAAGAAATTTTATCAAGGCAAGGTAGACCATGCACCAAAATAATCGTAGTAGGGCATATACAGGGTCTCTCATAATGTTTGGTACATATATGGGAAACTTTTTTACTATATTATCAATGATTCATAAAATGTTATTTTTAATAAAAAATTTTGTTGATTAGATAATAGTTTTGAGGTTAGTAACTACGGAGTTTAATATACGGAGTGTCTAAAATTCTACAAAATGTGGCGTTGCCGAACCAAAATACATAATCTATAAGAAAAGCAAATAAGAAAGTACTATATACAAACAAAATACACTATAAAATGTTTGTGGGTCAAACCGATTTGGAAAAACTATCTAAATCGGAGAAAATCATACAATCAAAGAAAATAAAATAATCAATTGTTGATTTCTCGACGAACCTTACCGCACAAAGAGACTCTATTTGAGATTTTTCTTTCATTTTTTACTCTTGCTAATACAGATAATCGAAATTCTCCCCTTAACCAATCAGAATTTTTAGATAAGAAGATATGTTTATGCTTATTTGCCTTTTTCCGTTTGATCTCGATTTTCTGACAAAACGTCCTGGCCGAAACTCTTCTATTTTCTTTGACAGCTCTTGAAAGATTACTAGAATCAAAGCGTTCCAATATAAAATTCACCACAGCGCTTCGCCGCTTCTTTGGAGTGTTAGAAGTACAAACCTCATATACATCCTGACGAGTGAAGCGCGCAGCCATCTTAAAAAATATATATGTATAGCTAAAGCGCACCTAAACGCAGCTAATTTTTTTTATGTCGTATGCTATAAAAAGTGGCCTTTCAAGAAATGACAAAGTTATCGTGGTATTATGTGGTATTATGTAACAAAAACATATTTAAAGTAGCTAAATTACAATTTTTCATAGGTAACTGCAGGTACTTCTTTAACATTTCTTTTCAGTCAAACTATATAGCAGAAATATTTTTAAAAAATGATAGCTTACTACGTAGGCCTAATATAAAAATAATATCAATGTAGTTATTCCTGAAAGTAAACACTTCTCACTAAAACGCCTGCAAAATTTGACTAAACGGGCTAGATATTTTAGATGATTTTATCGTTTTGTCCGAAAGATAAAGTAATGAGCATTTTTAAATAATAAGCTTGATTTTAAAAATAAACATATGTTTTTTTATTGATGAATGGACATTCCTTGAATAAATTTTACAATAACTTAGGACCTAGGATAAAGTTGGCAAATCGAATTAATTCCACCTAGAACCTCAAAATTTCACACTGTGCGTCGCGTCGGCTGGCCGGATGTATTGCGTTTATAGCTGCGGCAAGATGAATGACCAGTTTCAACAGAGTTGTCAAATCTAAGGATTTTTTACGTTTTACCAATTAGAAAATATTGTTTCAGAAATGTTAAAATATCCGAGTTAACTAAAAAGCGAAGTTGCTATTCACAACAAACAAAAAGGATTGTGTACGCGCGACCGACAAAAAGGGAGATATTCTGTTTCTTTTTTCTACTGATATGGCGCCCTTATCGACTGTAGAAGTAAACATATTAGGGCCATCGTAAAAAAAGATCGTCAGACACTGGCTCTAAATATAAGCAGGTATAGCTTCTAGTTATTTCAATGTTTACAATATAACGAAGAATCTACAACAGTAATTACTTCTATGTTTATGAATGTTTAAGTTACTTTCTTATCTTTTTTCAAAATAATGTACCTAGTTGAAATATAGTCTAATGAACCCTGTTTGAAAAACGTTAAATTAAATATAATATTTAAAATACAGTTGTCTTCCTTGTACATGACTACAATACAACTAAAAAAACTAATTTAATAAAAAAAAACAAGTGGTTGTAGAAAAACTTTAAATATTATTTTTTTTATTTTTTAACATCGAAACTCCAAGGTATAATAACAGGTATCATACCAACGATAAATAGAGTAGGTATGTCATATAAAAATGTTTTGAGTTTTTACTAGAATCGACCCTCGATAAAAAAAAGGTATTAGATTTAAGTTTACCTTTGATCCAGTCTGTATACTATTTCTTTGGATTTTCTGCACGTGTGCAAAAACTACACTAAAACACTATATCTTATAGAAAATAAAATATTGTGCCTTGAATTTTGAGGGATTTCATCTGAAAAATTATTAATTTGGAAGAAAACCGGCAAATAATAATATTTCCGTGCAGTCTTCTGGTCGCAACGACCAACGGACGGCCAGAACATTAGTGTGCGCTATATCATTTGATTTAATGGTTTTAGAGGTAGCTGCGGCCTGGCCGGTGCGACCTGGTCGTCAGTGTGTTCGAGCCCTAAGGTTATTTGCAAAAATCTACCTTAAAATGACTAAAATTTTATAACACGGCCCAAAAAAACTACAATTAAAATACCAGAAAAAATATGATTTTGTCATTGTCAAATTCGATCTCATATTTCTTTATAAGAATTTGTGTGATTTGGATAGGGTGGTTAATTTTTTTCCGAATTGGAATGATATTCTACAAAGGAAGTATACTCAGTTTTAGGACACAGGTGAGATTTCGACAGACGATGGCAGAAAAAAGCAGATGACTTCCATACCAATCTATTTATTTCGCTAAAAAAGTTTCTCATACTTTTTAAGTTAGCTATGGATGGGTCGTCTCTTGTTTTTAACCAGTCTTATTGGTTTATTTCAAAAATTAACTCGACTTAAAATTCTTGCCATATTATTATTAGTTATAATTTGTGTCAAATTATGTCAAATAACCTGCGTTTTGTGAAAAATCATAATATTTACAAATTGCTTTTTCATTTTGGTTCGTGTTGTTATATTAAGTCGAGGAAGAATCGAGGGAAAATTAAGTGTAGATCCAGAGAACAGTTTATATTCGGTGCCCAGAGAGTTGTAGATAGAGACCTGTTAGCCACGAATAAAGTTTGTATACTGTCAAGGATTTTGTCGTTGGATAGACTATATTTGAATTTTGCCACA